CATCGCCAGAGTGATGATAAAACGAGACCTGTCCAACGAGTACATAGGACCATATAATATTTAGTTATACGCATTATATAATTACATTTCCAGTTGGGATTTCAAACTTCAAACACGAGATCGATATTATTATATTGTTATAAGTGTAGGTTAGATATAGGTACATCTAAATCATCCAGCTGTCACACTGTTTGGTTACAATTTTATTAACGTATTAGTTTTATATTAATTATTTTTAATTTTTATATTTCATTCGGGCAGATTTAATATTTTTATTTTTTTATTTTACGTATTAATACACGCTGGTATTTCGTATTAATATATTTTAAATGAATTGAAAAAATAAAAAATATTTATAAATTACTTTTATAAATACTTATCATTTTAAAATCATACGATACTTTATAAGTATTATGGTAAATCGATTTCCATTCTGAATAACTTATAATTTTTTTAATTTTAAAATAAAATAACACAAAGACAAGGGAAACACAATAGTCTACCTTAAGTGATTATATATGCCATGTATATAATGCATGCATTACAACATGTAGGTACCGATTATAGCTTATAAAGTAAGATTTTCAGTCTTTAAAAATTACATTTTACTAATAAAGTTTTCTGTAGTATTTTATTCTTATAGTTTTAGTTAAATAACATTATAATTTCAAGGAATACATAATAACTTTTTAAAAATTAACCGGTACTAACTACTAAATATTATTTTACATTACATAGAAATTTAGAATTTATAACAAATAGTTGTACCTACACTCTTGTTACCTTACCAAAGGGAAATCAAAAGAATTTTCCATAAAATGTTTAACCACCAGCATACAATACACGACCCACAGGAGTTCTAAAAACGTCACATTGCGGTTACCTAGTGGTTAGTCAAATAATCAAAAATAACTCTAATATGACAGCCTTTGAATTAATTTAAATAGGTACGCCGAATAACGAATTCATATTACTCTACGACACAATATTCTCAAATGCCATAAGAATTTGAACACTTTTGTACATCTAAAGTATTATATCATTTTTACTGTTTGACTGAATTAATTAAATTTCCCTTTAGTATGCATTTTTTGTAGTTTATTGTTTCTATTATACAGTTATAGTTTTTTTCAATTCAAAAGTTTTTTAAATACTTTATTAATTACTTTAAAGTAATTTTCCAACGAAAATACTATTGTATTAACAATATCACATTCAATACAATATATTCACTAAAGACTAAACAATCAAAAACTGACATTTCTAATTTTAAAGTAAAATAATTTATTTGACTTTTGGCAACTTAAAAGAATCGAAATATTGAAAAACAAATACAATAGTAATTTTAAATTTCTAATAAAATGAACCATTATAATATACAATATTTACAGATTTGTTATTTACTTTTATAATCTCCAAAACAGTAAAATAAACAATGAACTTATCAGTTTGACATTACAAGAACATTTAGTAAATACTTACATTTAATAAAAAAATATTCGATGTTCCAGCTATCTAAATAAAATTAAATAGTTTAATGCAAATTACATTTTTTTAATGAGCTGAACAAGTTTTATATACTATTATGTTTAAGTTTTGTTAAGAATATAATTTAACAATGTATTCTTGTCACCCAGTGATTTTCTTTCGTGTCAGAACTCTATATTATGTTATATTCAAACTTTAGGATTGAAATTGGTTAAAACATTTCCCGCTCCCAAGAATGGAAACTTTAATATTTATTTCTGTGTTCAGTCATACATTTATAATGAATAATTTTGTTAAACATTATAATATGTGTGGAAATTGTTAGTTGTATTGTTTTCTACCTGGTACTCGTACTACGTGTCTCGGGTATCCGTTTATATATTACAATCATTAAAAATAACTACAAAATAAGTGTTAGAAGTTAACTATATAAGTTAACTCCTATATACAACAGAACAATATTATGGTTTAAAATCGTAATCACTGAATTATAATAATTATTTAAGTTGGATGAGTCACTATAATATAGGTAAATATTATATCATATCACATTGTGTACTCACATATTATTAAAGTATAGTTCTAAATGATTCTGCGTCTTTAATATTTTATTTAGCACAATATTTTACTGTTCATGAATCAACACTATTTGACGATTGTGTACATCCGTAAATTAAATTATTGGTACTTACACGTTATTTTCAATTGACACTTTTATGAGTTTTTACTGTGTGTTGCGGTTTGATAGAAAACGTAATCCAATCTACACTATAGTATACAAGAAAGTGCGAAGAGTACTCTAAACATAGTACGACTTAATTTGATTATCAAGTGATTCCCAAGTGTTCTTATATGTAAAACTTTATAAATTTGTCATTTACAATGACATATTATGACTAAACATAATACAAGGTTCGTTTTTTGTACTTATTTTAAACTGTACACAGTTAATACTCTTATCGCTATATATTCAGTACTTGAATCACTCAGCATAAAGTAACTTCACATAAAATTGAATAAAATTATACAAAAAAATCGGGTCAATATAAAAAATCCATTCAAAAACGAATTAAGGTAAATTATAGTAAAATATCCGGAATTAAAATGATGATTGGAGAAAAAAAGAGCCGAAGTCAGAGTACCTAACCAAACAGTAGCTAAGAATCTACCTAAAAAAAAATTTAAAAATTTAAAAATTAAATTAATTAAATTTACCTCTATACTAAGATATACTAGAGGATACTACTACTATATTAATATTGTAAATTTATGGAAAAATAAAATATATATTATTTTTTTTTACAACTAGGTATACCAATAATCGTGCTGTTAAATAATAATATGTTCCATTTGCATTTAACAATACCTTTTCATAAGTTGCCACAAGATCCTCATTATAACTTCAATTATTTGTATAGTACATCCTAACCATAATTACCTATAATATTATGATCTTTCTTCTAACCAGGGAAACTCGTCGATTGTTGGTTATTAGATATCCGTAACTGCAGTGGTGGGCATATTGAGTAAGTACCAACAAACCCTACTCATAGATAATATATACTAAATATCTGAGTAAATTCTATTGAGCTGTAATAGATAGATTACTAACAAAAAATCGAAATCACTTATACTTCCAATAAGAATACAATTATATATATACATATGTATATTACAGTATACCTATATAGTTTTTGGGGGTGGCCATCCGGGCCTACTTGTACGGCCATCACCACCCATTGTCCACCCCTTTCGCTACTTTCGCTTACGAAATCTTATGCACTATGCATTTAATAGCAAAACCGTGTACACGTTCTAGCACGGTGGTAGCGGCACCATCGGCTTCCGGTCTAGAACGGAACCGATGACGACGACGACCCGCGACCGCGACTCAAACCGATTCAAATCGTCCCGCGACTGACGACCGCGTTCTTACTTCTGAGAAGCGAAAGACGTAACCGAGTATTTAATAACCACTCAATTCTACCCGTTCGTAATATTTGTGTGCTTATTTATTATTGAAGTTATTAGGTTCCCCATGATCTACGCAGAACATAATATTATAATTTAATAATAGGTGGGAGCAATACTTCCTACTGTTCTATAAATAATATTGAAATTATAACTATATAGGTATATTATACCACAGAGGCAGTCGTCCGAACTGTTAAGTCCATAATATGATTAAATTTGTATTATTATTGTTATTATTATTATTATTAGTGTTATGGCGATTTTGTTGTTTATGGTACGCTGAATGTTAATTATATTCCAGTCGACAAAAACCATTCCCGTGTAGGTTTGAATTTCAACCGTTTAGACACAGGTACCTATATTGAAATTTATAACATTTATAAGTTATAAACTTATAACTATTGAAGTAATTTTCAAATGACCAACTTTAAATATATTTTTATTCGTTTACTCTATGTGATTTATTAGGAATGCAATTCAATCCCGACTATTTGTATAAAGTGTTTAAGTTTTATTACTGTTTTAAAAAGGTTTATAGAGACGATAAAAATTGCATTTCCTTATTTGTGTTACCGATAAATTATACTTTATTTAAATGTATTTGATATGATTTATATTCTAATGCAATTTTAAATCGTACTTTTATTTTAATCTTATAAATATAATAAAATTACACTGCAATAATATGAACAATTTGTATCGATAAATCAATCCACGACCGTTACATCCAACTACAGCGTTGACATATTTAAAATAACTATTCTCTAATAAATCTCTAAATATAAACCGAGACAAAAATCCGGTATGCAATATTCTGCAAAGGATAATTAACAAGCCAATTGAAATAATTTACTTCTTTATTCATCTTAAAATATTTTTATAGATATAATTTGAATGTACCTAATTGTCTCATTAAATGTTTGATGTAGTATAATAATAAGATATATATATAATAAACCTACGTCCTACACATGTGTGTTATATATCAATGAATAAAATATTGCTATCCAGTACTGGATGTCGGATGATCCCTTTAACGTAAGAGTCTTACGGTAAGACACTAATTCTAATTTTATCGTTTTAATACTTTTTTAATATTTTTTTTAATGACCACATGCATTTTTAATTTCTTATTCCAAATAGTTTTTACAAAACCATTGTTCTGTAAGACATACAATTATATAAAAAAACGTTTCAAAACGTTAGTGTATTCTGAAATACTTATTTAGTGTTTTATGTTTGATACACCATCCTCATTATTATACCTATGTTGTATACATACGACTATACGAGTATTTACATACTATATTATAATAGTATAATGTAATCAATTATACTTCATAATAAAACCTTGAATCCAAAGTACATTATTATAATATGTTATCCTTATTACTATAAAATATAATAGGTACCATATTATATATTTTATAAACCTAGTGAAATTCACAAAAAAATCCTTAATCAACACATATATAAAAAAAAAAAGTTTAAGTTTCAAGGTAATTAATTGAAAATAATAAATTGTATAGACTAGGTACTCAAAATCCACTCACCTTTTTGCATCTAAACAAGGCGATGATGGTGATGAGATTTCCAGGCACTCCAACCATCATATACACCACACAGCATATACTAGCAAACGTTAATAGGGCGGGCGAATACCCTTGAAACAGTTCTGTCTCCAATTCATTTTGCCAGTCGTGGATGTTAGCAACTTCCGACACATTCTCCTGCTGATAAACATCCAGCACACTTCGGTTTTTGTCTGTTAGACCATTCTTTGTGGAAAACCAATGCATAGCCCAGTCTCTGATCATTGCGGGTTTAAATCGAAGTCGTTAAGACATAAAGTTTAGCAAACGATAAGGTTTCATGATAATACCTGTAAAAAAAACACACACACACAAACCAAACATTATGAGACGAAAAAAACAATATTTACTATAATAACAAAATTAAAAATATTCTAAGAACACTATATTTTTAAAAATATCCGAACTTTTATTTTCAATTGTAAATATTATGCATCAAAAATTTAAGTCTCAACATAATGATAAAATTATTTTGGATTAGAATGATATAATGGAATAAATTATAGGACGAATAAGGAGCCTACCTACAGTATAATTTTCTGGTAAATTTGGTTGTCTTTTACAATAATTTTGTAAATAATTTAATAAACTAATACCGATTTACAATCAAACTATGATATAATAGGTATCTGCAAATTTAATAAAAAAATTAATAATATTATATAATATGCTCGATTTCCAAAAAATAATTTTAAACATTGCGTGTACTTTCATTCAGAAAATGTTTTCAAATATATACATATAATATATTTAATAAATGAAATGAAAATGTAAATTGAAAGTTTTCGGCGGAACATGGTGTGAAAATGAGATACCTACCTACCTAAACTTATACACACAATTACTAATGCATTTTAATTATGATTAAAATGTTCATCACTTTAATAATAACAACTTTTTTTTAATGATCAAATAAAGTGCGAGTGTCATCAGAAGAGTACACACTACACATACAATGCAAATATTATACAATAATATACGTATATAATATTATGCACTTTGTCATAATTATTAATTTAAACGTAATAATTAGTATTATCTAATATTAATGGTAAATAACGTTTTCCGTGACCAATAATAATAGATATACAATTCCATGTATTTTGTGATCAAACAAAGTTCAAATAATTTAAACCAATATAAAATTCTAGGTAAACCATCTGCAAATTGATTTTTTTCACTATTATCAACTGCAGTGTATCTCATTTACATTATATAATTAATTTGCAACACTACACTCTGAATAATTTACATTTTACATACTGTACTAGGTAGGTATACATATTATTATACATAATATTAAAAACTTTCTGTACAAAAGCAAACCACAATAGATTTGCAATATTATAACATTGCATGGATTATTTTTTTCAACGGAAAGATGAAAAAAATGTAACCCTGCAATCAAAAACATTATTATACGAGGGAAATGTAATTAAGTACCTACCGAGTATTAAAATATTTGACACTCGCTAAGATATTATGATGATAAATGGCAATGACGAGGTAGGCAATAATATTATAATTATTATATCAGGAAAATAAAATATGAAACTTACATTCAATTTTCTAAACATAATAATATAAACCTACGCACATCGATTATTATGTTTGAGTTTCCTGTGATACCAATAAATAATAACCGGTATTATATAGTGGTAGATATGATGGATGTGGATTTGTTTTGATAGCAAACGTCTTTTGTACTATAGCATTGCGTTTAAATCATAAACTCATTAAAATAAAAAAAATATAGAAAATGTAAATTACATAGGTATAATATACTGATTGAAACGTCATAGGTATTATATTTGACGATTTATGGATTTCTTATTTATACAAACAAAACATTTTCGTTTTAAAGTTAAACATACCTAATCTGTGCTTAAGAATAATATATTATGTATTGTACATCTGAGAACGAATCGACTTTCAAATTATGGTACCTAAGTTAATAGTAATTACTATATTGTTATATAAAAGTCTCAAATCATGAGCCATCCTAAATTACTCTTAAAAATTATATTTTCAACTTTAAACTATTTGTATAGGTACCTACTTTAACGGGTTGACAGCCATGGGTTTTTTTTTTTTCAAGTTACTTAAAATCGATTTTGAGAATCTATTTGGGTTCTCAAAAATATTACTAGGATTTTCAGCGAGAGTTCGCGGTTAGAGTCACAACAATCAGTATTTTCTAGTCGGATTTAAAATGTACAGTGTTGCCACTTTCTGATGGTATGACAAGCTTGCAGATATAATTATTAGTTTTTTTTTTTTACCAATTTTTGTTTAAATCGTCAAAACTGTTTCCAAGTAAACCTATGAAAAAACCCCGTGGCGTACAGGAGCAATCCATGAACTAAGCGATTATCTTAATTCATGGAGTAAACTAGTGAGAGCCCGAAAAGGGGCTCATGGCGGTCAACCCGTTAAGTGGGTTTTCCAATTTTCTATATTATATACGAAGGTAAGATGCATGTCAATTTAAAAAAGTTATATACATATTATTTACGATATTTTGAAAATCTTTCAATGACGTCAATGTTGATTTTAGAAATATTTTTGCAGCAGTAAATCACTATATTTATGCACCGTGATATTATTACATTATCATGCTCAATACGGTATGGGATATTATGGTATATTTGAAGATATTTATATAAAATATATACTCTACGTCCATTAATTATTTAGATCTGCTCGTGTCAACTGCGAATGGTTCCTACCAATCGCATACGGAAAACTGTCATCGTATTTGGTAGGTAATATAATAATGTTTTATAATAATTAATGTACACATTTGTGTAATATGGACATTTTTTATACTCTCAGCCCCCAGGTACACCGTGGGAGGACCTGAATAAATTCGGCGAAAATTGTTGGACATTAGATTATTATTATAATGCCTAAATTCGTGTACTGTTGACGATTGTTAAAAAGCTTTCAGTTATTTTTGTTATATCTCACAAAAGAATAACAATTTAATTTAATTTCACATACTTTTTTTATATAGGTAGGTGCTATATTATAAGCAATATTACTTTGTTTTTATTTTAAATATACTCTCAATCAATTTAATTTTACGTATAATTGTTCAACATAATATTATGTTAGATGTATAATTTTATACAGTGAGTAAAATTACTTCAAATCAAAATATATCATTTAGTTTCTCGTAGCTTAACGAATATAATACAATTAGTTTCCATTTTAGTAAGAATGATAGTATATTATTTATATCCTCTTATTAAATTATCAAGTATTCGAACTCAAATTACAAATTATTCAAAATCAAAACCTCATTAACCAACAATATTTTAACTGTATAACAACATTAAGAACAAATGGTCAACATTTGTTTAAAAACTTTACCATAGTATCTATATAATTTAATAAAAATTAACCTGCATTGAAATCTAGGGGATGGTTATTCATTGTAACTAAATAGAAAACAAACTCAGTTTTATTAAAATCAAGTAGATCGTTATAAGTAATCTTTCGTGGATTTAAATAATTTTTAAAATTTTCCAATAATGCTAAAAGAAAATTACAAAAATTATTTGTTTAAAGAACCATCTGTGCTCAATTTTAGATACACAAAGCATCAAAGCTCAGAGGTGATAAATATGAAATTTTTAGAGCACGTCTACTTCTATCCCAAATAGTGTATACAGATGTATAATGTTTTATTATTATAAAAAATTCAAATCTTTGAAAAACTAAAAACAATATTACTTCCGTTCTCCTTGAAGAATATAATATGACTCCAATACTGTGCATTGGAATATTCATTAAAAAAAAAAAAAATGGGATACGCGTGTAGCAGGTGATTTACTACGGGATTGATGATTTTTTTCCAATTTAATATATTGAGAAGTGATCCGCCGGAAAATTCCAATGCAATTTATTACTAATTATTATTCAAATTTATTTTATAGTAGGTATGGTTGAGATTGTAAAAATAAATCAAATTGTCTAATAATAATTCATTAAAAAAATACTCTATTATTTGCCATTGACCAGTATAACTTAAACTTCAATTCCATAGACTACATTATCATTGTAATTCCATGTACATCATCACAAATAATTATCGTCATTCGACGTAAATTCCTTATTTATTTAATATCAAATAACTAATAATTTAATAGAGTAACCAACAATGTAAGAATAAATTGACTTTGGTCGACTACATAAGAAACGTGTAAGTAACCGTTTCGAAATATTTATAAAATTTTAAAGATCACAAGCTACACTTAAAATTAAATGATAGATCATCTGTTACACTTACAATTACAAACTACCTAGATCATCTGTTACTGCACGCAATGGCATAATTAAAATATATTTTAATGCATTATCTTTTTAAATATAGCCTATACTATGGAAATATAATTCATAAATCAGAATTCAATAACGTATACAGATTTACTTCGATAAAATCATGTATGATGACAAATAATTAAGAAATCTTAAGTTTACTCTCCTCTAATATACAATATAATCAAAAAATTAACACACTTGTTCTAATAATAAATCTACTGGTTTTTAGGAATAAAAATACTGAAAATAAATAGTTATGAATCTTAATTTCAGGAAGCTTTAGTTCAAATTAATTTTTAATTTATTGTTCTTAATTTATAATATAATCTACTCGTTTTTGTTCTCTATTGTTTTTATCTTTTATATTTAAATTAATATTTCTTTTAACATTCTATGGGGATTTTATGATATTTAATATTTAATTTTTATACGTTTAGTTTATAATATACCAATTGTAAAATTTCCAAAATATTACCGAGTATAAAATTTGACGTGAATATAAACATAAATAATATAATACACAACAAAGAAATTAATTTAATTATGTCAAAGAATTCAATATTGAACATTTCAATTTTAATTTATTATTTTCGTTTTTCATTAATTTAAAACATAATATATTTTGTGTACGAATGTGAAATTTAATATTACGAAATAAGATTTTATTTTAGCCAATATTTTCCAGCGATAGAATATTAATAAGAACAATTTAAAATCGAAGTAAAATAATACCTACATCTGAATATTATACAATAACTGCTTATAATACGTCTCGTATGACATTAACCACAATATTTTACAACCTCGTATTTACAATTTAAGTAAAGTAGGTAGATGTATTAAAATAATTAACCTTAGTTTATTTATTATTAAACATTTTATTATTACAATTGTTAAGA